AGCCGCAGGCAGAGCCTGTCCTGTCCCAGGGCAAGGAGGGGTTCGACCGTCAGACGCTTTCAGGAGCAAAATGAGCGGCATTTCCTGGAGCAGGAACCTGGTTGGTGTGATCGGGACACGGCGCGGCTGTGCCAGGTCCAGACCCTGTACCGCACAGGGTGTCCTGGACCCCCTTACCTTCCCACAGACCTCTCGGTGCCTACGGGCTCCTGCGTTTCGGGAGGCACAGCTGAGCTGGGACAGTCACCTGCCTCGATGGGGAACCTCCGAGCCTGCGGTGACTGCTGGGAGCTCATGTCCAGGCCCTGGATGTGTCTGACCGGAGAGGAGCGGGTGGGTGAGCCAGGCAAGCGGGGGCCCCCCAGCAATGGCAAAAGCACAGGGGAGCATGAGGGGACCCCAGCCAGCCCCGTGATGTCCGCACTGCCTACCCCAAGAGCCCCCACTCACCAAGAGGGCGTTTCAGCCTGTCCCCCACCTTGCTGCGCATCCGCCACCTGACACGGTGTCGGCTACATCACAATGGCACCCTCGGGTTTTAAAAGGTTCCTCTGTGCCCCCCTGGGGTGCTGTGGGTGCTCCCGGGCGCCGAGATGCTGTTTTGAAGTTGCTGTGGGATGAAGTGAAGGAGTGAAGGGTCCCAACCCGGATGAGGACATGGAGGGGGTTTTGCTTGCCAATGGCTACCAGCTCGGCAGGACCATTGGGGAGGGGATGTACTCCAAAGTGAAGGAGGCTTTTTCCCAAAAGCACCAGAAGAAAGTGGCAATTAAAATAATTGATAAGAAGGAAAGCCCAGAAGGTAAGAGTTAACCCCAAAAGAGCTCCAGGCTGAGGCACTCTCCCTCCCTGGAGGCTTTTACTTCCCAGTAGAAATCTCATTTCCCAAACTCACTGCGTGCGAGCAGACGGGGGGCGTGGGGATGCTGGGGGGATCCAGCAGAACAGCCCGGGAACCATGGCCTGAGGATCAGGACCTGTTCAGGTGGCTGCAAGGACAGCAAAGTGCTGGCAGAGCCCAGCATCCCCCCTCCACAAGCATCCCTCAGGGAATGGTGCCCCTGGTAAGGAACCAGGCACCCCAGGAACGACCTTCCCTCCCTCTGCCGAGTCCCAGAAGGGGCCAGCAGCTCGGGGACATCCCAGTGAGCAAACCCGTCTCCTCTCTTGGCAGAGTTTATTGAGAGATTCCTGCCCCGAGAGCTCCAGATCGTCACGCGCTTGGACCACAGGAACATCATCCATGTGCACGAGATGCTGGAGTCTGCGGAGGGGAAGATCTGCCTCGTGATGGAGCTGGCAGAAGACGGGGACATCTTTGACTACGTGCTCCGTGAGGGTCCCCTGCCCGAGCCCCATGCCAGGGCACTCTTCTGCCAGCTGGTCGAGGCCATCCGGTACTGCCACAGCTGCGGGGTGGCCCACCGCGACCTCAAATGCGAGAACGCCCTGCTGCAGGGCCACACCTTGAAGCTGACAGATTTTGGTTTCGCCAAGCTGCTCCCCAGGGACTGCAGGGAGCTGAGCTGGACCTTCTGCGGCAGCACGGCCTACGCAGCGCCCGAGGTGCTGCAGGGCATGCCCCACGACAGCCGTAAGGGCGATGTCTGGAGCATGGGCGTCATCCTCTATGTCCTGCTCTGTGCCCACCTGCCCTTTGACGACACCGACATCCCCAAGATGCTGCACCAGCAGCAGAAAGGCATCTCTGTCCCCAGGCACCTGGGGATCTCCAAGGAGTGCCAGAACCTCCTGAAAATGCTCCTGGAACCAGACATGACCCTGAGACCCTCCATCGAGGTGGTCAGCAGACACCCGTGGCTGACTAACCCCTGAGAGGGACTCACCCTGCTCTCCCCAAATGGAACAATTGTTTCTAAAATAATGATAAATTTGAAGGTCAGCATTTCCCATCTGTCCCAGCCCCACAGTATGGCAGAGACAAGGTCTGGTTCATACTCAGTCATTTTTATTGGCCGTCAGCGGTGGGGAATGGGGCAAGCCAGAGCTCCAAGCAGCTTGGGGCAGTGCAGATCCACCTTCCCCAGTTAAGCAAACCTCCCCTGAAGCAGGTGGGAGAAAGGGAAATTTAAAGCAGCCATCCCCATCCTGCCGGCAAAGGAAATGAGAACACCCGACACAGGCAGCGAGTCTGTAGAATTCCTTTAATTGCTGTTAACTGCAAGTTTGTAAAAGGTTTGGAGAAAGTCGTTACAAAACTACCAGCTGTTAGAATTGTTCCTGGTTTTCACCCCAGCTAGAAAAGGCTCAGGGAGATGCAGAATAGTTCAGAACAGAGAATATTGCACAGACAACCAAATGGTTAATTTGACTAAAGAGAAAAAAAGGGGGGGGAAAAAAAGTGACACAGATGAGAGCACTGC